TTCATTTATTTATAATATTCAATATTCAATAGAATTGTGAATACAACTCAATTGTGTGATAACTGTCAATAAATTATGAATGACAAAGTTTAAGATTGATGAAGACCATTTCCGTGAATAAACGGTATTTTAAATTACTAGCAATTCTTAAGAATATATTCTTCCTTGTTAAAACTATTGTGTTAAACAATCTTATGTTAAATATTGCGGACTGGGGCTTCGACATTAGTTATATCACTAATGGTCTAAAGCTGCTGCCTGAAGCTTTACCTTTTTTAGTGACCCTTTGCTCCATGTACGGCATTTTATAACTTATTACACTACAAACAAATTTTTTCGTCAGAAAAATATAAAAAAGGTTAATTTTAGATAATCATAAAGCTAGACCAACCATATAAGGTTGGTCACGAGCTACTTTACTCACCAATCCTTTCAAGTTTAGTTTGAATGCAATATGTATGTTAATTACCAGTATTGTTATAAATAGCATGTGGAATGAAATAAAAATTCACTTCACGTAACGCTTACTAGGGGAATCAGTCAGATTACATTATATATTATTCCATACATAATCATATATAATTATATATGATTAGATAAAATTATTGCTTCTCAGTTAAGTATTGCATAACTAAATCTTTAATTAATATATCAGACATTCCTGCAGCGCTTTCTTAGGTGTGGGCCGTTAGTGATTACGGATGCTTATTACCTCAACTGATCTTTCAAAACAGATATTCTGTCAATCATTTAACATTTACAAAATAATGTTTATGATATATTTTGTGTTTTTCTAGAATGCGCTCCTATGGAGTAGTTTACTATGGAATATGAGCTAAGTGACAGGTAGGAAATATTTAGTGCCTATAATGCTTTCTTTTGAACGAAAACTTTCTTTCTTCAATTCCTCAATAATTTCAGATTGTGTTTAATGGATCTGCCCCACCTTCCTTTATTTTTTTCTTATGTTAATTATAAGTAATTTTGCTGCTGTTGAAAAATTTCAACAACTATTTATAGTTTTAGTTATTAGATGAATTTTCTCCAACTTAAGTTATTAATTACAATATAATATATTATAGTTAATATATAATTCTATATTAAAATTGTGTACTACATATTAAAGAAAAAGTCGGTCTTTATGTAAGAGATATTTTCATTTTTTTTAGAACATTTTTGGACAAAAAACTTTCTGTATTAAAAAAGTAATATATTAATTATGAAATTTTTTTATGTTAAAATAATTATTTATATTGGTTTTCGTACTAGCTGGCATTTTTTTTGCGACATATAATTTTGTATAAAATCAGGAAATAACTGCAATGACATTTTTATGTGCTATTTTTTAATTTCTAATTTTATCTAAATGTTTAAATGTTTAAAAGTTTATGTTCATCTATTTTAATTTGAAAATTTTTTAAATTTCTTTAAATAATTATTTTGCTTATGCTGCCTCACGATCTGTAAATTAATTTAAAAAAGCTGTCTTGGTGCATATTCTAGTAAACATTATGCGACGCATTAAGAGATAAAATTTTTCCTTTTTACGGTTTAAAAATTATAATTAATTTAAAATATGGTTTCCGAGAAATAGAAATTAATCTTTTGACATTTCATTTAACCTACGACAAGACCCTTACCTCTTAGTCTCCATTCAGACTATGAAATTGTGGAAAAGTTCGTGGAAATGTTTGAAACGTCAGTTTTTAATAATAAAAGAATAAGAATATATTAAATAATTATTAATCGCAGAAAAATAAGCAATTATAATTAAATTAACGTTTTAACATAAATAAATTATTTAATTATTTTTACATTTATGCCCACTCCTTTAAAATCAACTTCCAACTTTGATTAAAAAAAAATTTTTTTTTAAATTGAATAATGATAATCAATTAAATTTAATTCCCCTATTATTTGTTTCTGTCTCTGCAAAACTTTCCTAATGGTACAAAATTTATGATCTCAGAGCCACTGAAATGTACTCGACGAAGCTTTTTGCCAATAAAAGTTTCACACTGATGGAATTATGAAGCTATCCTGAAAATAGCAAGACGTCAATTATAATAATGGTTAATATATACTTGATTCAAATTGGTTCTGCTTATCTATTCGGTTTAGGTCCTTTATAAAGTCATATTAAAAAGCATCGCAAGAATCATCGGATAAATATCGGGTATATTCACAAACTAAAAAAACCCCTCTCTAAATGTTACCATTTCTTTGAATATCTTAACCAATACAAATATAATTTTATACTTCTTTAGAAGGAGGTCTAATACTCTCAGCCAAAAGCTTATTATTTTTGTCTATTTGTTATTTCTGTTTTCCATTTGGTGGTGTTAATTTCATAAAGAACTACATTAGAACCATTTATTTTTTACGTAGCTTATTTTTTTTTGTTTTCTGGTAAAATGTTTTCTCTGCTGTGGGTAATCTTCTGACATTCTACTAACGCAGTTCATGTATTTTCATCATTTCATATACCCTCCTATAGCATCACGACTCATCAATTCATTTAGCTCGTTGTTATATTTTTTTCTATATTTATTGCCGTTTCTTCTTATAGGATCATATGTTGGCAAGATCTTCTATTCATAAGATTAATTTATATATTTCTGTCTCAGTTTGACTATAAAATTCGCAACTATACTTAATAATGAGTTTCCATGTCACTACATTTTTGACTTTTATTTGCATTAAATGTGGCCGTACGGACCTTAGCTTCCATTACTTCAAGAGTTGTCGGTTTGTCGGCATAAAGCCCCATAAAAATTAATCGAGAGTCCTTAAATCGCACGAATGAGACCACGCAGGGCTAGTTAACAGTATCACTTCTAGAAATAAAGTTGTTACCAAATTGATTTCGCAAAAAATCGATTGTTAAGCGCGCTGTATGGTAAGTTTGTATGTCGCCGTCTTGTTAGAATCAAATGACTTCGATGTTCAATGTTTAACGGATTAAATTTTGGAAACAAAATTCAAATTCAGTCATCATGGCTCGCTCGCCATTCCCCGAAACGGCAGCCCTTTCCTCATTTCAAAAGAAGTAAGCACCAATGATGCTGGCAGTGTGCAAACCGCATCAAACAGTCAATTTTAATGGATGTCATGGTTGTCGTTAAAGGTTTGAGGATTATTTTCGCTCCATATATGGCAACTAAGCCATTACATTGATCAAAAAATAGGCGAAGTGCTATATGAACTAAATTTCTACAACTTGAAATTATTGTGCTAGTGTTAAACGATTCATTATGAATTGTGAAACCGCACTGAACAGATATGTCTGCACTTTTTGATATTCCTAGCTGTCAAACCATAGTTATCGTTATCAGTAGTTCTCATGCAGCTAAAAAAACATGCTATACACCAGCAACAGTTGATGAACATTAATTGTCATAGTGTGCAGTGACCTAAAGATATTTATTGTTTTGAAACTATATAAATCAGTGATTGTAGAACTGTCTCTGTCTTTTGATACCAACATATATTTCGGCTTTTAATTTGAATATCGATTCCAACCCCTTAAGTTTTTGGGGCAATTTTAAAGAAATGCCTTAGACCTTTACTGAGCGTTATATACTCAAGACCTTTTACATAACCCCATAATACCATTTTGTTTTTAATTTGATTTAATTAGTATGCAGTGTCTCGGCAAAATTCGCTCTTTCGGGCTATGCTGAAAATGCATGATATGCAGAGTGAGGCTGTGATACATATTGCCATACTTCTCCAAAATGTTTTGCCTTAGTGCCGGGGCACAAAGTTTGAATGGCCATATTGTTGTTTCTCTCATTCTCAAATTTAAAATTTGCATTGAAAACAACAATTGTATTCATGCCGTGCCCGAGACACTCTGTATAATATGACCCCTATGGGAATAACAGTTATCGAGGTCAAGATCACAAGGTCTCATTTGCAAACATTTTTTTTACACTAATAGTATATTTCATATTAAATTAGCTTAAAGTTACCGATTTGTAAGTTAAGCTGTTTGAAAATTGTTAAAGATATAGTAGACGAAGACGAGTTAATGTAGCACTACATCATGCCAAAATGTGAATATCTATTTAATATTAATTTCTTAAAGTTTTTTGTAGGCGTTTTGTTTTAAAATAAAAATAAAATAGACCTCATAGCTCACAGAAAAACTTTAAAATAAAACTTTTTTGCTCATCGATATAATCGAATTTTTTAAGTACGATATGAAATTATTAAAATCTTTAATCGGGGAAGGAATATATAGAATGAGAAGACATGTCTTTTAACTTGATTATATTGCAGCAATTACTTAATTATTCATATTCTTTATGTTCTTTGGTTTATAGGATATCTATAGCAATACCATTATTAGCTAATCTTATACCCAGAATGTTCTCTGGGTATTGTACTATATCGGTTCTTATTATATTTGATGTGACTACAATTCTAATGCGAACATTCACATTTAGTTTCTTCTAAGAAACTAATTTAAGTATTTCCAATAGCAATTTAGAAATTTCAAAAATCGTATCTAAACAAAATATTAATATAAGGAGTTTAGTAATTAATAGTTTAATTAAGATGTGAGTAAATGTAAACATTTAGAACTGTGTGATTTCCAGCAATAAAATTAACCCATACAATTTTTGGCGTAAAATCTCAGTTTATGACGTTTTAAAACTAAAATTATAAATAAAAATTTGCGTTGAATTGATGATTATTCAAGAAATTTGAGATTGCCAATGAGTACTAAGTTCTAATCAGTAAATGTTTTTATTATTTAAATTTTCATTTATTCAAATGTTATAATCTCTGAGTGATTAAGTCTACACATGTATGCGGTGACACAGTTTTCAGTGTAAATAAATATAAAAAATATAGAAATAAATTAAAAAAGAATAATTATCTACATTGCATTTCTCAATAATTCGTTATTTCTGTAGTGTGTTTAAATTGTCTTGTAGAGTACCGATATGTAGAAGTGTTTTATATGGAAGTTGAATTGCTTCAAGAGCCTCATACGTTTAGTTTATTTGTATAAATACCTTTGGAACTAAGTGCTAGAATCAGTTCGTTTTCAATTGTTCATTCATTGACAACATGAAAATTTACGCTTTTATTGGCTTTGTCCTAGCTTTGCTAGCCGTTGCTGCAGGTAAGCAACAGACATCCTTTCAATATTGATAACACTTTTCGCTTTGAAAAGTTAAATGATTAGAATTAATTTTATTTCATGAATTAATTTTACAATATTTTTTTAGCTAATCCTAATCCTCACCCAGTGCCTGGTGGTGGCGGCGGCGGTGGTGGTGGTGGTGCCGGCGGTGGCGGTGGTGGTGGTGGCGGTGGCAAATGAACAAACCCCATAATACTTACCGGCCAATTTTAATATAAATACCATTTGTATTCTTTCAATAAATTTTAATAATAAATTTTTGAAAACTAAAAATGATTTCTTTTTTACATAAAATTTATGACTCGCAGTTTTAGATTAAGTTAGGTTATATCCGCGATCCCTAGGGGATACACATAGACCTATTGGCCCATTGCGTTATCGTATATATAGGAAAACTCCGGGTTTAAAACCACCTAGTACCTTTGGCGAAGCTCAAAATGCTGTTCCTCAAGAAAGGGTGCACCTAAAGCCCCGTATCATGAGCTGGACAACTCACAGGAATACAAGGATATATTTTCTGATGATTTAAAAAGTAAAGAAATTTAGATAGATAAATATTAGGGTTGTGTATTTTTTTAAAAAATGTGTACGGCATTGTAAACTTATAATTGAAATCATTCTATGTTTTGATTGATAGAGGAATGACAAGAGATAGACAATCGATTGTTCTAGTTTTAATCAGCATATAGTTTCAATGACATAGTTTCAGTTAATATTTCATTGCAATGTTATTGCGTATAGTAATCTTATAGATGCAATCAATTTACTTTGTGTAAACAAAAACAATATAAATTAAGAACAGATTAGTCCATTAACAAATATATCATTATGAATTAATGACTTGAAATATATCATATAGACTTCAAGTGCTAAATAGATTCCAGAAATGTTGCATTAGTAAGTTTACTTTAAACACAAGTTTCTATTTATTACAAATATATTAGAGTGGGTTTCACAGTAACAAATCCTTGAACAAAATATATTGAAAAACAATATAGTCTTAAGAATGAAATGCATTTGTTTTTGAACTAAAAAAGTAAAAATTAAAATTCTATTATGGAAAACCTTTGTCCATTGATATTCCATTAGTAGACAAATAGTGAGCTGAAAGATAATATGCTAGCTGCTAATAATAAAACTTCAGGAAAATCTATCTTCCATTGTTGTTAATTTTTAATTCATAATTCAAACGATGCATTTTTAAAGACTTTATAAACAAATATTTACAAATATTACCATATTTTTATGGTACTAAGTACTGAAATAGATATAGAATTAATATATTATTTATTCTTTATTGTATACAGAAATAAATGAGAATTAATACATTTTTTTTCTACTCCTATTTTCTTTTCGTTTTTAATTGTTGACTATTCTTGAGTTAGTTTTGTAGACCCTACTAAGCGGATATTTAATAGAAATGTAGAATTATTGTCGATATTTATAATTTCTTAGTTTCCTTTCATATAAATGATATTTAAAACCTAAAACTTAGAAATATAGGATTACTGTCAATATTTATAATACATTAGTTTTTTTTACGAATATATCAATGATATATTATTGTTACAAATTACACCTCTCTACTTTTGAATTAGAATGATTTCTTGAAACGGAAAATATTTGATGGATTCTTCATTGTATACAAAGAGAAACTGACAGATTTCTTTTGCATTTATACTCTCTTTCTAATTTTAAAAGTTGACTATTCTTCAGTTAGGTTCATACATCTTAAAAAGCAGACTTAATAGAAATGTGGGATTATGTCAATATTTGTAATATGATATTGGCTTTTGAATAAGAATAAGACCTCGAACATGGCATCTAATAGGATTTTGTCGTAAAATGAATATAACATCAAAAGGCTATAGCATATTGAAATGGCTTGTTGATGCTACGTATATGATAGCCAATTTCTTTTAATTATATCTCCAGAACTCAACTTATACGTATATATATAAATATTGATGATGATGATCATTTGCACTTTTTTCAATCCAATATATTATTTTCAATCTATTGATCAAAATAAATAATATGTAATTAATATGAAATGTTAATTTACTTAACGTGGTCCAGTAAGTCTGCTAAATATATTATTACTTCTATTAAAAAAATTTATCATAATGTAATTCAGTAACGCTTAAATAAAGAATCTAAGATGTTTAATCTTGTCAGTCTTCCCACCTTATTTATTTTATTTAATAAAATAATATTATTCAGCTAATAAACGCTGAATCTGAGCTTCAAATTTGTCAAGTTATGAGTTCAACTCTTGGTACTTGTAATCTCAAAAAATTAATTACGTATAATTAAATATAAGAAATAATTCCAAGATAACTGATAACGGATTTTTGGCAATACTCGAAACACCTGACCATGCAGCCAAAAATTCAATTATTTAAAATAATAAAAAAGAAATTTTATTGTTGTAGTTTGGTATTTTTTGAAACCTCTCTATAATAATAGAATTATATTTTCGAATCACATCTTTTTCAAAGGAAATATCTAGATCCTTATGTTATGAATACACAAATCCGTTCCATGTTATAATTTGTGATAATTTTTTTTATTATTGCTGAATGGGAGATCAAAGATTTGTAATTTTTGCAGTTTTCGAACACTTGTAGTTTTATCCAGTCGACCTACAAATAATTTCTTGATTTCCTTGATATACATTTAACTAAGAAGTGGTTTATAACCGACAGAAATAGCTACTTGTGCAACACTTCATGTAACCGCTAGGCTAAAGAGCTAGTTGATCCTTACAACGATCTCTAATCAGTAGAACCATGCTGAAACTATTGGCAGTTTATGTAACGGTCATCATCTTATAAGGACCGGTTTAATCAGGAGACATAGTATCATGACCACTAGTCATAGTTTTTGAAGCTGTTCATCTGGATCAGTAGAAGATTATTGGGCAAAGAGATTTTATTCGAGTCTAAAATTACGGTGATAGTTCTCAACCCATAACCTGTTATTCTGGGTGGTGGGTTTTTGCTCATTTAAGTTTGGTTATTTAGTTAAAGCACTAAAGTTAATCCACTGTCATCGTGCTTTGCTTCGCTATTACAATTACTTATTATGTATTAATGTTTTTCTACAATTACCCAAACTTAAGGTAAATCACAAATTTTATTTTTATCTACAACTGAGGTTAAATTGCGTGATTTAATATTCTGCTCAATGTTTGTAAATAATATTATTTAAGTTAAAATAATTTTTAATTCTTAGAAAGCATTTAAATGAGATAATTTTATCCAAGAATCATACTAATTTTGTGGTGATTTTCGAAAAAATTACAAAATTTTTTGAACTTATTTATATAGTAAAGAAAAATCGTTGACTATTAGAAGTAATTTACAATAAAGAAATTTATATTTAATTGCATTTAATCATTTATTCGTAGCACACGTGCACTTAATTTAAAATAAAAAGTTTTTATTTTTATTTGTCAACAAATGATTGAAAAATTTTTAAAACATTGTTCAGGTCTTTTAAGATTTTGATAATTACTGGGTTAATGTCATTTATTTAACACATAAAATAAAAAAAAAAATATTTTTAAGATAAAAAAATCACACACTATATTTTAACTATATTGTTAAGTTTTAGTTATAAATATTAATATATTGGAAAGTATAAATTCTTAAAGTGGATTTAAGATATTTCTTTGAATATTAGATCGCGTATTTTTTTAGCTGTATAAGAACTTAAAATGATAATACCTATGTCTAATAAATATATAACAAATTATAATATATATAAATTATATATTATAATAAATATAAATTCATTAAGAATCATTTGACGTTATTAGATGTATTAATTAGAAAATTTGATGGTTTCTAAATTATTACATTAGCGAAGTATTAATAAAATAATTTTTAATATAGCAATTAATGATGATTTATTTAATTTTAATACCGTTCACAAATTTTCCATTTCACTTTTTTTAATACCTATTTTATCATTGCTAAGTATTATTTGTTAGAAATACTTTCATTAATTACTCAACGTGGTTATATACAAGACGATATATGTCTTACCGATAATTTCAAAATATTCTAATGACATTAATTATTAGATATGACATTAATGTTATTATCAATTTTAGTTGGAAGCATTTTAATTTGCTAATCACAGCATACTGACAGTAATGGTATATTCGGAGGAACTAGGCTTTATGGATATAGAACTAATAATCCATAAGTTCGTAGTGGCTTCGGTTGATTGAGAAGTGGCAATGGCAAGTTATGATTTCTTTCGATTCAATAAAAATCTTTATTTTGTTTTAGTTGTTATAAATATTTTCCAAAGGTTTTGACTTTTACAATAACTTTTTGTTGTAATTCCTAATGTGATACATCAATATACATCAATATTTTTATATAATTTTTCGGTCATTTTTCGCATGCTATGAAATATTTCAGTAAAATTGCAATAGGTTGACTATATTAAATAGATGTGAAATAAATTACATGTTAGAAACTGAGATTCATTAATTGTTTGTTAACATAAACTATTTCCATCAAATTTTATGATTAATGAAGTATTTTGTTAAATATGGTTAATTTATAATGTTATTTATATCATAACATCACTACTAAGAACTGCTCATGGCGCAGTATTGAACATATTTTTTTTATTAAACTTAGTAAATGAATTTATAATTGTTATTATAATTAATTAATATTATTATTAATAAAGAGGTTTTCGAAAAGTAGTGAACTACAACAACAAAAAATCTTTTTTATATTATTTTAATTAGTTGAATTTTTTTCTGACTATACATCTGTTTCAAGTATTGACAAATACCCATCATCAGTGGTCTTTGAAAAAATTCTTATATTTGATTATTCGTAAATAATTTTATGAGACTGCAAGTACTAGGTATCAAACTTGTGTCCTACCAAATTTGAAACTCAGAGTCAGCGCTCCTTAATTATATAAATAATTAATAATTCTTAATATAAATATTATTACCAATTAATATTAGTAAATAATTATTGTAGTGCAGATACACTACGAGTTAAAATTTTTTAATTTTCTTATGTTCATTTTTTACATATCAATACTTTATTATTTTTCACACATTACTTGCTAATTAATTTTCTTTTCACACTGTATTATATACTGTATTTTTAAAACAAAACACATATATATTGTACAACATATTATTAATTAATTCTAATAAATTTGTTTACTTTCATCAAAGAAACCAATAGACACCGCTTTAATTGATAATTACAGGAAAAGGGGGAGTGTTTAAAGGAAAATTATATTGATGTTTCGATACTACAGTTTATAATAATAATTAATTATTCAAATATTTTTTGAAATTTATCGTGGGAAGTTTAATTTAAAAACTAAATATAATTAAGTACTTGATAATTAACACATCAATTGTATTTGAATTTTAATCACTTTTGTTAGGTGAATTAATTACTTTAATGAAGTTATGATAAATGACGTGTTAGGTGATTAAATTAAAGAAATCATAAAGTTATTAATAAATATTATTCATATTTATGAATTAATAAAAAAAAAATTA